TAAGCAGTGTTTTGCTCATCCTGGGTCACTTTCCTTTCCATATAAAGTTTGTAATGGTTTTTTTCCATCTCTTTGAAGAATGTCATTGGAATCTGCATCAGGATTGCTTTATATGTGTAGATTGCTTTGGGCAGTATTGATATTTTCACAATGTTAAGTTTTCCAACCCAGGAGCATGGTATATTCTTCTATTTTTGTAAGTCTCTTTTGGTTTCTTGTAGTAGTGTTTTGTAGCTTTCTTTGTATAGGACCTTTGTTTCTCTGATTACATTTATTCCTAGATATTTCATCCTTTGGGCGGCTAATGTAAATGGTATTGCTTTCCTAACGTCCTTTTCAGTGCTGCCATTATTAGTGTAGAGGAATCCAACTGATTTTTGTATGTTAATCTTACAACCTTCCACGTTTCTGAATCTTCCAGTGAGGTCTAGTGGCTTTTCTACTGAGTCTTTGGGGTTTTCTATGTTAGTATCATATCATCTCCAAATAGATAAGAATTTTACTTCCTCTTTGTCAATTTGAATGCCTTTAATTTCCCTATCTTGCTGTATAGCTCTGGCTAAGATTTCCAACACAATAATGATTAGAAGTGTTGACAAAGGGCATCCTTGTCTTGTTTTTGTTCACAAAAGAAGGCTTTCAGTTCATATAAGGATTTGACAGAGGATATTTGTACATGTGTATTTACTGTTTCTGCAAACACATCTATAAGTGTGGTGAAGCATGTTGTTGGTAAGAGAGGGTAAGTAAATTCCGAGATGTTTCTGGTGATTTCCAAGGATTGGCTGGTGAGTCTGAACCACCAACCTTTTAGACAGCAGTCCAGTGCTTGTCTTACAGCACCACACTAGGACAAACATAGAATAAAATAATGAAAACTTCTTAATGTTTAAGTTATTAAACATCTTAAGGCAATGAGTTTATGGGCCTTGGGGTTCAGGACCATACCCTCAGGGGAAACCATGTCTGTTGGCACACATAGTCTGCAAAGACAATGTTCTACATTCTACTTTGGTGAGTAGCAATTTAGATCTTAAAAGCACATGATCAGTCATCTAAGGTGCAACTATTTTCTCTCCCTATGCAGAAGAAAGAAGAAAAATAAAACTTGAAGATGCTTGCAATAGACTAATAGAACGTGAACATCAGTCTCCACAATTCTGAAACAAGGAGAACTAGATGGTCCATATCTACCACGACCAAGTGCTCTGAAAGGGATCACATTAGAAGGGCCCAGATGGAGTGGAAAAAAATGTAGAACAAAACTGAAAACTAGTAAAAGAAAAAAAATTAGGTTTGCTTCTCAGAATACGAGAGAAAGATGAGGCTTTCTCCTCCCATTCAGAAGGAGTTCTGGTACACTAGTGGGTTATGAGTTGGGCTGCTAACCACAGAAGAAATACGAGGCTTTCCATTTCCATAAAGATTTACAGCCTCAGACACCCTATGCATGGTCTCTGTGAGTCAGAACCGACTTCATAGCACATAACCACATGCTTTCAGATTCATAGTTCTAGACCTAGTCTTCCATTCACTGAGAGGGCATAGTGCAAAAAAAAAAAAAAGCAAAAGCTCATCTTTCTCTGCTCTTCTCTCTGACCAGAGCATACAGTCTGCAGAAGAAGAGGGGCTGATGTGAATACAGTCTCACATACATGAAAAGACCTGATTAAAGATGAAGGTCTGTAAACACAAGCAGTGCTGATTGACATGTGATTTCTGGACATTTGGCAAAATCTCTGCACACCCACAAATAGCTTGCTTTGCTTTCTAAGATTCTATCAATGGACTAGACTTACTTGGCCTATATTTAGACAAAGCCAGTGGTGGTGTTTTCACCTCTTTGGCAGCTGGTTCAGAGAAGCTTTTCTGGTAAGAAAACATGTGCCCAGCTGGCGGGTATGGCTTCCCAGTCAAGAGATTATGTATTGATTAGTAGGGAGAGATGAACTATCTGTGTTGTTGGTCATTGACCAGATAAAAAAGTGCCTAATTGGTTGACATGGAAAAAAGCAGTGCCTAGAGTCCTGGTGTGGCACTGTGGGCTAATGCGTCAGACTGCAAAGTCGTTTGAACTGCAAGGTCAGTGGTTCAAGCTCACCAGCTGCTCCTTGGAAACCCTATACAGGGTCACTACGGGTCGGGATCAACTCAACGGCACTTCATAACAACAACATAGCTCTCAGGAGTCCTGGTGTGGTGCTGTAGGATAAGCACTGGACCTCAAGGTCAATTTTGAACCGCAAGGTTGCCACTCCTCAGAAACCCTAAACAGGTTCACCATGAGTTGGAACCAGCTCAGTGGCACTCATTAACAACCACATTAGATTGGCAGAGAGGAGAGGTTTTGAAATGACAAGATCTTAAATTCAAACTTCAAATCTAACACTAGCTCAATATTCCCAAAGAATTTAATATCTCTGAGCCTGTTTCTCTACCACTCTAGTGATCTTCAGACTTTTTTTTTTTTTCGCCCATGTAAACCCATAGAAGAATGTATAAAAAGTTAACATGTAAATTTTTTATCATGAATTTATATACTTGCAAAGTATATAATTCCTGGCATATTATATTGATTTCTTTTTAAGGATCTCTTTTTAAATGTTTTATTGTGATTTGAGTGAAACTTTACCAAGCAAATTAGTTTCCATTCAAAAATTAATTTTACACATTTTGCTTCATGACATAGCTGTTCCCACAGGGTAACAGCAGTCTTCCCACTTCCTTCCTGTGTTCATCACTTTCATTCATCCTTCTCCCCTAATCATTCCTGCCTTCTGAGGTTGATCCCAGGCAAATGCTGCCTCTTTGATTTTGCATGGTTGGTTGTTCTAAGGAATCAGTACCTTCCTGGTATTCTTGTACACCTATAGGCCTGTGTATTGTTTGGTTGAAAGTTGAGTCTTGGGGGTGAGTTCATACATATTAAATTTTTAGATAAAACTATTAACATCAGTCTTTTAAATATATCCAGTGAAATCAAAATAACAATTATTTAAAATCATCTATTTTAAAATACATGAACTAGGTCTTTTATAACAGAAATGCCATCTATTTTGTTATGAATTACTTTATTGCCCTAATGTGAGACATTTATTATGAATTAAAATTCATTTTCATTTCCTATGAGTACAAAGAAAACCCCTGGTAGTGCAATGGTTAAGTATCAACTGCTAACGGAAAGGTCATGGTTCAAACCTACCTGCTGCTCCATGGGGGCGAAATGTGGCTGTCTGCATCTGTGACAAAGATTTCAACCTTGGGAGTACCATGGGGGCAGATCTGCTCTTGTCTCTAAAGTCAGTATAAGTAGGAACCAACTCACTGGCAATAGGTTTTTGTTTTGTTTACA